TGATGGTGTAGTATCAAGTAGACAGTACAGTGTATTGTGATGGTGTAGTATCAAGTAGATAGTACAGTGTATTGTGATGGTGTAGTATCAAGTAGACAGTACAGTATATTGTGATGGTGTAGTATCAAGTAGACAGTACAGTGTATTGTGACACTGGTAACAAGTAGATAGTACAGTGTATTGTGATGGTGTAGTATCAAGTAGACAGTACAGTATATTGTGATGATGTAGTATCAAGTAGACAGTGCAGTGTATTGTGATGGTGTAGTATCAAGTAGACAGTACAGTATATTGTGATGGTGTAGTATCAAGTAGACAGTACAGTGTATTGTTATGGTGTAGTATCAAGTAGACAGTACAGTGTATTGTGATTGTGTAGTATCAAGTAGACAGTACAGTGTATTGTGATGGTGTAGTATCAAGTAGACAGTACAGTGTTTTGTGATGGTGTAGTATCAAGTAGACAGTACAGTATATTGTGATGGTGTAGTATCAAGTAGATAGTACAGTGTATTGTGATGGTGTAGTATCAAGTAGACAGTACAGTATATTGTGATGGTGTAGTATCAAGAAGACAGTACAGTGTATTGTGACACTGGTAACAAGAAGACAGTACAGTGTATTGTGATGGTGTAGTATCAAGTAGACAGTACAGTATATTTTGATGGTGGAGTATCAAGTAGACAGTACAGTGTATTGTGATGGTGTAGTATCAAGTAGACAGTACAGTGTATTGTGATGGTGTAGTATCAAGTAGATAGTACAGTGTATTGTGATGGTGTAGTATCAAGTAGACAGTACAGTATATTGTGATGGTGTAGTATCAAGTAGACAGTACAGTGTATTGTGACACTGGTAACAAGTAGATAGTACAGTGTATTGTGATGGTGTAGTATCAAGTAGACAGTACAGTATATTGTGATGATGTAGTATCAAGTAGACAGTGCAGTGTATTGTGATGGTGTAGTATCAAGTAGACAGTACAGTATATTGTGATGGTGTAGTATCAAGTAGACAGTACAGTGTATTGTTATGGTGTAGTATCAAGTAGACAGTACAGTGTATTGTGATTGTGTAGTATCAAGTAGACAGTACAGTGTATTGTGATGGTGTAGTATCAAGTAGACAGTACAGTGTTTTGTGATGGTGTAGTATCAAGTAGACAGTACAGTATATTGTGATGGTGTAGTATCAAGTAGATAGTACAGTGTATTGTGATGGTGTAGTATCAAGTAGACAGTACAGTGTATTGTGATGGTGTAGTATCAAGTAGACAGTACAGTGTATTGTGATGGTGTAGTATCAAGTAGACAGTACAGTGTATTGTGATGGTGTAGTATCAAGTAGACAGTACAGTATCAAGTGATGGTGTAGTATCAAGTAGACAGTACAGTATCAAGTGATGGTGTAGTATCAAGTAGACAGTACAGTGTATTGTGATGGTGTAGTATCAAGTAGACAGTACAGTATCAAGTGATGGTGTAGTATCAAGTAGACAGTACAGTGTATTGTGATGGTGTAGTATCAAGTAGACAGTACAGTATCAAGTGATGGTGTAGTATCAAGTAGACAGTACAGTGTATTGTGATGGTGTAGTATCAAGTAGATAGTACAGTGTATTGTGATGGTGTAGTATCAAGTAGATAGTACAGTGTATTGTGATGGTGTAGTATCAAGTAGACAGTACAGTATCAAGTGATGGTGTAGTATCAAGTAGACAGTACAGTGTATTGTGATGGTGTAGTATCAAGTAGACAGTACAGTATGAAGTGATGGTGTAGTATCAAGTAGACAGTACAGTGTATTGTGATGGTGTAGTATCAAGTAGACAGTACAGTGTATTGTGATGGTGTAGTATCAAGTAGACAGTACAGTATCAAGTGATGGTGTAGTATCAAGTAGACAGTACAGTGTATTGTGATGGTGGAGTATCAAGTAGACAGTACAGTATCAAGTGATGGTGTAGTATCAAGTAGACAGTACAGTATCAAGTGATGGTGTAGTATCAAGTAGACAGTACAGTGTATTGTGATGGTGTAGTATCAAGTAGATAGTACAGTGTATTGTGATGGTGTAGTATCAAGTAGACAGTACAGTATCAAGTGATGGTGTAGTATCAAGTAGACAGTACAGTGTATTGTGATGGTGTAGTATCAAGTAGACAGTACAGTATCAAGTGATGGTGTAGTATCAAGTAGACAGTACAGTGTATTGTGATGGTGGAGTATCAAGTAGACAGTACAGTATCAAGTGATGGTGTAGTATCAAGTAGACAGTACAGTGTATTGTGATGGTGGAGTATCAAGTAGACAGTACAGTATCAAGTGATGGTGTAGTATCAAGTAGACAGTACAGTGTATTGTGATGGTGTAGTATCAAGTAGACAGTACAGTGTATTGTGATGGTGTAGTATCAAGTAGACAGTACAGTATCAAGTGATGGTGTAGTATCAAGAAGACAGTACAGTGTATTGTGATGGTGTAGTATCAAGTAGACAGTACAGTATCAAGTGATGGTGGAGTATCAAGTAGACAGTACAGTGTATTGTGACGGTGTAGTATCAAGTAGACAGTACAGTATCAAGTGATGGTGTAGTATCAAGTAGACAGTACAGTGTATTGTGATGGTGTAGTATCAAGTAGACAGTACAGTATCAAGTGATGGTGTAGTATCAAGTAGACAGTACAGTATCAAGTGATGGTGGAGTATCAAGTAGACAGTACAGTATCAAGTGATGGTGTAGTATCAAGAAGACAGTACAGTATCAAGTGATGGTGTAGTATCAAGAAGACAGTACAGTATCAAGTGATGGTGGAGTATCAAGTAGACAGTACAGTATCAAGTGATGGTGTAGTATCAAGAAGACAGTACAGTATCAAGTGATGGTGTAGTATCAAGTAGACAGTACAGTATCAAGTGATGGTGTAGTATCAAGAAGACAGTACAGTGTATTGTGACGGTGTAGTATCAAGTAGACAGTACAGTATCAAGTGATGGTGTAGTATCAAGAAGACAGTACAGTATCAAGTGATGGTGGAGTATCAAGTAGACAGTACAGTGTATTGTGATGGTGTAGTATCAAGTAGACAGTACAGTGTATTGTGATGGTGTAGTATCAAGTAGACAGTACAGTGTATTGTGACGGTGTAGTATCAAGTAGACAGTACAGTATCAAGTGATGGTGGAGTATCAAGTAGACAGTACAGTGTATTGTGATGGTGTAGTATCAAGAAGACAGTACAGTATATTGTGATGATGTAGTATCAAGTAGACAGTACAGTGTATTGTGACGGTGTAGTATCAAGTAGACAGTACAGTATCAAGTGATGGTGTAGTATCAAGTAGACAGTACAGTGTATTGTGATGGTGTAGTATCAAGTAGACAGTACAGTGTATTGTGATGGTGTAGTATCAAGTAGACAGTACAGTGTATTGTGATGGTGTAGTATCAAGTAGACAGTACAGTATCAAGTGATGGTGTAGTATCAAGTAGACAGTACAGTGTATTGTGATGGTGTAGTATCAAGTAGACAGTACAGTATATTGTGATGGTGTAGTATCAAGTAGACAGTACAGTGTATTGTGATGGTGTAGTATCAAGTAGACAGTACAGTGTATTGTGATGGTGTAGTATCAAGTAGACAGTACAGTGTATTGTGATGGTGTAGTATCAAGTAGACAGTACAGTGTATTGTGACGGTGATGTAACATGGTTGAGTACACCACTCCATACAGTACGGATGGAGCACCCTGCTCTGTCATATACTCCCCCTCGCATGCAAATGATCACCAGGGGACACAACTCCATCACTGATGCAGACATGGAAACATGTCCCTGTCAGAAAGGGTTGTAGTTGTAGTTAAAAATCTGACAGTAGCCCCTGATTACATAAAGTGCCTGTGTTTGTACGGTGTTATTATTATTATTCATAACAAACTTAACTCAGTAAAAGGCATCATGAGTTTAAGCATTGAGCAGGGTTGAATCAGCATGTCTGTCTGAGACAGGACGTGTAGGATTACAGGCATAGGTGTTCCCGCTCTAATCCTGGGTGTGCGTCGGCCTTGCCCTACAAGTGTCCACAGCCAATGCAAAATAAGGATGCAAGTTGGCGTGCTTTTGTAATCACTACGCAACTCGTACAAAGGCAAAACGGACAATTTTTGGAGTGTTCTAACAACAAAGCTTAAATCAATCCATCACTGATACAAATGGATGCATATCCAGTCGAGTGATGTATCATATGGAGACAAGAATCACAGACTAATAGACAAATCAAAGATATGATATGATGTATGATCAGAAATAAAAATGTAATTAAATCTATTTTAGACAGGTAGTTTCCTGGTTTCAACCAATGTGAATGAGGGTAGCAAGACAACATTCCTCTGACTGTGACTTCATTGCACCCTAACTCTGCCGCATGATGTCATGGCGCTGTATGATGGCATTAGTAAACCAGTGCTGCACTTCAAACATTGAGGGAAATCATTCCACGCAAACATTTGTGTCCATTTGCACAAGATTTAGCACACTAATCTATTGAAAGCATTTTTTTTTATAGATGAACATTTTCCCCATTTGTGGACAAATGTTTTTTTAAGGTTATAAACTATCAATGATACTTTTAAGCAAAACAGGAGAGTGACATGCAGTATGCCTCTATAGTACAGTGTGAACTTAGTGTGGTATTTAGCAACAAAATGTACACTAACACCCTTCCATTTTTCATTTGAAAAGCGTACTAAATCATCTGGGTTTTCTAACTACCTAAAGTGTTAAATACTCTGAAAACAATCCAGCAATGATCCTTAAGACAGGACTAGATGAAAAACTGTCTTGTGGAACAGGGCACTGACATCAATAATGGAGCTGCACTGAGGACTGGTAAAAAGAGGAAATAAATCTGTAAAGAATTCAACAATAATTTCCAGCAAGTAAAAACAACAACCCTTAAATGTGTTAGACTATGAATCAATACTGAGAAATATAGACATACCTTTGATGCAGTTCGATTCCAGACTGTGACTTCGTGGCCTGACCTGAGCAGATTCATGACCATACCCTGGCCCATAATGCCCAGTCCCAGGAAGCCGATGCGCAGGGGTGTGGGTATGACAGACTTGGCGGAGTTGCGTGTGAGGAGAGCGTCGTCTATCTGTGTGGAGGAGGAGACAGCTGTACCGGTGGTGGTAGATGGGACCCCCAGGTCCTGAAATACACAACTCCTGCTTACAACTCCAACTACACTGTCACACCATCATCACAGGAGGCATGCTTAAGGACATACAACTTATGTAGAAGAAAGAGTAACCTCCCCTTTGGTTAATGTAAAATGGTGTTCAGTAGAACCAGTACCAGCTGTCTGTGCAATGGCATGAGCACACATTGAGTACGTACATGACAACTTTAAATCACCATGCTACTTCTCAAATGATTTCTTATTTTTTAAAACAGGAATTGGATTCACGATGATTCAATTCAGGACAGAAATCTCATGATGAAGTGAAAATATTTAATGCTTCTTAGCCAATCATTGAGGTCCCTAGGGACATTTATGTTTGTCATACTTCAAGCTACTGGACAGTGTAGTTTCTATGCCCCTGCAAGAAGTATGAAGCCTTTGTCCTTCCCCAACAGAGATCAGCCCAATTGAACACTGTTCCTGGAACCTCCTGTCCAAAATCCATGACTTTTCAAAAGCCCCTGACCTTATGTTGATATCCTTGAGATTTGCCTGAGGTCCCCTGCCTTCCCTTCACTTGTAGAGACATTGTCATAGACAGCCAGCTAACCTGAGCAAAGTTGCAACAGGAAATTTGCTAAAATATCTGACAATGAACCAAATCCTGTGGAGGCAAGAAAGATGTGCTGTGCTAGATTGGCAGGCTGGACTGGATGTGGGCAATCATCACTTACACCATAAATCTGGCATTAATAGGAATCAGAAACACGTATCTTCTTAAGATCTCTAACATAAACAACACACAAATCCCATTTAATACAAAAGAAGGACTAGTAACTGTAATAGGCCGGCTGGTTGGGTCACTGTGCCTACCCCTCCCATTGCCGAAGTGATGGGCAGTGTCAAGTGTCTGCATGTTGGGTCTCATATCAGAGTCTGTACTAATCACCATTATCAAGGTAGTCAATATTTAACTGGGCTGTTAACTGATGTAACATATAAACAAAACAAGCAACTGAACCTTCCCATACTGGAGCCTTCCCATACTGGTACCTGTCCGTACTGATATCTGATCGTACTGTTACCTGACAATACTGGAACCTGACAATACTGGAACCTGACAATACTGATACCTGACTGTGTATGGAGGGACACAGTGTTTTGAGGGACACTGTTTGGAGGGATACTGTGTATGGAGAGACACTGTGTATGGAGGGACACAGTGTTTTGAGGGACACTGTATGGAGGGACACTGTATGGAGGGACACTGTGTATGGAGGGACCCAGTGTATGGAGGGACACTGTATGGAGGGACACTGTGTATGGAGGGACACTGTGTATGGAGGGACACTGTATGGAGGGACCCAGTGTATGGAGGGACCCAGTGTATGGAGGGACACTGTATGGAGGGACACTGTGTATGGAGGGACACTGTGTATGGAGGGACACTGTATGGAGGGACACAGTATGGAGGGACACTGTTTGGAGGGACATTGTATGGAGGGACACTGTATGGAGGGACACTGTGTATGGAGGGACACTGTATGGAGGGACACTGTGTATGGAGGGACACTGTGTATGGAGGGACACTGTATGGAGGGACCCAGTGTATGGAGGGACCCAGTGTATGGAGGGACACTGTATGGAGGGACACTGTGTATGGAGGGACACTGTGTATGGAGGGACACTGTATGGAGGGACACAGTGTATGGAGGGACACTGTGTATGGAGGGACACTGTATGGAGGGACACTGTGTATGGAGGGACACTGTGTATGGAGGGACACTGTATGGAGGGACACAGTATGGAGGGACACTGTATGGAGGGACACTGTTTGGAGGGACATTGTATGGAGGGACACAGTGTTTTGAGGGACACTGTTTGGAGGGACACTGTATGGAGGGAAACTGTGTATGGAGGGGCACTGTGTATGGAGGGACATTGTATGGAGGGACACTGTATGGAGGGACACTGTATGGAGGGACATTGTGTATGGAGGGACACTGTGTATGGAGGGACACTGTTTGGAGGGACACTGTGTATGGAGGGACATTGTATGGAGGGACACTGTATGGAGGGACACTGTATGGAGGGACACTGTGTATGGAGGGACACACTGTATGGAGGGACACTGTATGGAGGGACACTGTATGGAGGGACACTGTGTATGGAGGGACATTGTATGGAGGGACACTGTTTGGAGGGACACTGTATGGAGGGACACTGTGTATGGAGGGACATTGTATGGAGGGACACTGTATGGAGGGACACTGTATGGAGGGACACTGTATGGAGGGATACTGTGTATGGAGGGACATTGTATGGAGGGACACTGTATGGAGGGACACTGTATGGAGGGACACTGTATGGAGGGACACTGTGTATGGAGGGACACTGTGTATGGAGGGACACTGTATTGAGGGACACTGTGTATGGAGGGACACAGTGTATTGAGGGACACTGTGTATGGAGGGACACTGTATTGAGGGACACTGTGTATGGAGGGACACAGTGTATTGAGGGACACTGTGTATGGAGGGACACTGTGTATGGAGGGACACTGTGTATGGAGGGACACTGTGTATGGAGGGACACTGTATGGAGGGACACTGGGTATGGAGGGACACTGTGTATGGAGGGACACTGTGTATGGAGGGACACTGTGTATGGAGGGACACTGTGTATGGAGGGACACAGTGTTTTGAGGGACACAGTGTATGGAGGGACACTGTGTATGGAGGGACACTGTATGGAGGGATACTGTGTATGGAGGGACACTGTATGGAGGGACACTGGGTATGGAGGGACACAGTGTATGGAGGGACACAGTGTATTGAGGGACACTGTGTATGGAGGGACACAGTGTATTGAGGGACACTGTGTATGGAGGGACACTGGGTATGGAGGGACACTGTGTATGGAGGGACACTGTATGGAGGGACACTGGGTATGGAGACACACTGTATGGAGGGACACTGGGTATGGAGGGACACTGTGTATGGAGGGACACTGTGTATGGAGGGACACTGGGTATGGAGGGACACTGTGTATGGAGGGACACTGTGTATGGAGGGACACTGTATGGAGGGACACTGTGTATGGAGGGACACTGTTTAGAGGGACACTGTGTATGGAGGGACACTGTGTATGGAGGGACACTGGGTATGGAGGGACACTGTGTATGGAGGGACACTGTATGGAGGGACACTGGGTATGGAGGGACACTGTATGGAGGGACACTGGGTATGGAGGGACACTGTGTATGGAGGGACACTGTGTATGGAGGGACACTGGGTATGGAGGGACACTGTGTATGGAGGGACACTGTGTATGGAGGGACACTGTATGGAGGGACACTGTGTATGGAGGGACACTGTTTAGAGGGACACTGTGTATGGAGGGACACTGTGTATGGAGGGACACTGTTTAGAGGGACACTGTGTATGGAGGGACACTGTGTATGGAGGGACACTGTATGGAGGGACACTGTGTATGGAGGGACACTGTTTAGAGGGACACTGTGTATGGAGGGACACTGTGTATGGAGGGACACTGTATGGAGGGACACTGTGTATGGAGGGACACTGTTTAGAGGGACACTGTGTATTGAGGGACACTGGGTACATTACCCTGGAGGATGTGGGACATCACAGGGCGAAGTGTCAGTTTTCTATAAAGTGTTCCTGATGAGAATGGATTAACTCCTACATACAATTTTCTCAAGTTCATCACATTATTTTGAATATTTTACTCCATGAAGATGGCAAACTTTCCCCAAACCATTAGCGCTCTGTTACTAAGGATACATACCTTGCTTACACAAGTAACTACATCAACAGGAAGAGTGTATCCACATGAAGCGAGAGAGAATTCACAGAAAATTAGAGGTCAAAGCTAGAGGCCACTTTCTCCTCCATAGTTGGGTTGTAAAAAGCTCAGGGAAAAAAACTTTCAAACAAGCACATGAAAGAGAATCATTGTTAAAGTTCTTCCTTGCTATTGACATTAAACACACTTATCAGACATACCACTTCAACTAACACACCTGTCATCACTCTTGAGAGTTCATTAGTATTTCTTTTCAAAGAAAACATTACTAATCATTGCCAAAGCATATCTTTGGGAAGCAATCTTAATCAAAGTAAGAAATTTCAAGAAATTATATATCAGGGCTCGATTTAAGGAACTTGATTTTACTTGCACCAGGTGCATGTTGACATGAAAAACTAGTTGCACCAAACAACACCAGGTTGCACCCTGGTCCCATGAATGTGTCAAAGTTGAAACATAGGTGGGTCTGCCGCCAGTGTTGCATACACTAATGAGGTATTGCTGTAAAACGTAATAGGAACATGTGAACTGTAATCTTGAAGCACCCACAGTGTGATGATGTCAAACCCACGAAAGCATAAAAAGTTACACATAACGCAGAGACTATTGATGTAGTACGGGAAGTATACCTCAGAGGTACTGAATGTGTTCCAAGATCATTGTAGTGTGGAAAAGTAAAAGTAAGGCAGACAAATTGTTTTCACATGCACCTGGTGCATGTTGACATAAATATTAGGTTGTGTTTTTCAATGATAGGTTGCACTGGTGCAAGTTTTATAAAGCTAAATCGAGCCCTGTACATGTCACAAAATGTGTGTATTCCAAATGGTTGAAGCACAAGAATGTCCCCCCAGTTGCCTGTACACATGGGTTCAGGATAGGACTACCTGTCTGTACCACAACTTCATTCAACATTTTCTTCTGTTTCTAGGTCTGAACTTTCTAAGAGCATGGAAATGAAAAAGGACATCAGTGCGCACCTTATCCATTTCTTCATCATCCGGCATATCATAAACATCTTTGGATTTGATTTTGGTGGGCTCTGGTGAAAGGCCTATTTCTTGGTAAAATTCATCTTTTGAAATGTTTGGTGTCTTAGAATAGTCCGGAATCACAATGGATTCTGAGGATTTGGGAGTTTCTGGTGATTTCACAGGCGACTTGACTGTTTGTGTATTAACAAGAATCTTTTGTCTCTTTGTTGGAGGTGTTTTAGATGTTGAAGGCCGGGGTTCGTCTTTGGATGCTGACAGGGGTCGCTTGAGAGTTGGTTTGCGAACTGGTGTTGGCTGAAAATATACCCAGATAAATGAATAGTACAACAGCATAGAAGCAGGAAGCATATCAACTGTGATTATTTTCACATACCTTATGTCTAGTAGGAATTACTGACTTCACAACATCAATACTGGCTTTATTTTCCTTGTATTTTTAAATATTGGTTCCCACAGGAGACATAACTTGGGTCCACATCTCCAAAGAGAAAATCATTTCCTTAACACTCAACAAGAGCATTAGCTTGAGGCTTTAATCTAACAAGTGATTCTCAGGAATGTTACATAACGTCTCTTTTCAACTGTGACATCATGAAGGAGTGTTACTGCTTTCATGAATTGCTGGTAATTCTCAACAGATTAAAACTCTTTGAACAAAACAATGGCATTTTGTACGTCTCTGCTTTTCTTCATTTATAAATATATGTAAACACACTATTTAGGCAATGACATCTCAAAGTACTGCTGGATATACACACTTGTCGTCAATACATGACATGTGTGTATGTACACTACATTCCAGGGCAGGAATGAGGTGTCGTAGAGACCAGTATCTTCTTGTAGTACAGTAATGAAATAAGGCCCTGAATAACTCATGGGTGCATGGGAAATATGGCCACTGTAATCTGAGCACACATGGGAAATATGACCACTGTAATCTGAGCACACATGGGAAATATGGCCACAGTAATCTGAGTACACATGGGAAATATGGCCACAGTAATTTGAGCACACATGGGAAATGTGGCCACTGTAATTTGAGCACACATGGGAAATATGGCCACTATAATTTGAGCACACATGGGAAATATGGCCACTGTAATCTGAGCACACATGGGAAATATGGCCACTGTAATCTGAGCACACATGGGAAATATGGCCACAGTAATCTGAGCACAAATGGATCCGATCAGCTGACCGTTCAGTCCAGGTCCCTCTGTTGACGTTTTGCTATCAGTACTTAAAGCCCTGCATTTGATGTCTGAATGTCATGCTTTTAAAAATGAAGTATAGTTTCATTGTATGGGTACCCACATCTATGTTGTATAATCGCCGATCAGGCAATATGCATGCAGTTGAGTACAGGCGATGTGGTACACAAAATGTAAAGGTCTTATGCAATGTCAATTAAAGTTCATCAGTAAATATTGTGACATTTGACAGCAACACAAGTACTTATCAGGTATATAACTGAGAGAGCCCATTCTTCATTTCTTTAGACTTCGCTTTTTATGTTTTACATACACATTCTAAACTCATGTTTCAAATAGCCTTGCACACACAAATAAATAATGTTATTCTTTTTTCTCTTAACATCAATAGATATCTCTATTGCACAATGTCATAATTATATTTGATATCTTTTATAATTGTACATGTGTACTTGTATTAGATTACATATGTTGAAGTTAAATGTTTCATAAGTTCACAACATGAAAAACATATTTTTTCAGAAAATACACATATCAAAATCAATCTGTGTAGTGCCCCACTTCTCTTAGTATGTTTTTTTTTGTTTGTTGTTTAACGCCGCACTCAGCAATATTCCAGCTATATGACTGCGGTCTGTAAATAATCAAGTCTGGACCAGACAATCCAGTGATTGACATCATGTGCATCGATCCACACAATTGGGATACAATGACATCAAACAAGTCAGCGAGCCTGACCACCCAATCCCGTTAGTCTCCTCTTATGACAAGCATAGTCGCCTTTTACAGCAAGCATGGGTTGCTGAAGACCTATTCTACCCTGGAACTTCACATGTCCTATTAGTATGGAAACTGTTCCCTATATTTGTAAGCAATCCATGCAGTAGTTTTCAAGTTATAGGTCGCACAAATGTTTAAGTAAAAAAAGTCTAAGTAGAAAACAAGCTGTATTTTTTCATAAAATCCAAATATTGAAATCAAACTTCGCACTGCAGTTCACCAAGTTTGGAAATCATGTATCCTGCAATTTTCAAGTTATACGTCACACACACACAAACAAATGTCTTCGGAAGGAAGGACAGACGGACAGAATTCCTTGGTATAACTATATACCCCCACCCATGTAGTTGGGGGCACCATAACTTGTCAATATAATATATGAAGATACAACTTTTGTTTACATCTATTTATGTGTCATACACATCTTGAGGGGTAGTCAGGTGGATTTGTTGTTTCTTGCGACTAATATCTGTAATTTACTACTATCTTAAGGGCAGGAGTATCATAATTACATAAGAAATAGTGGATCAATGAATTAACACCTATGATAAGCACTCAAAATAAATGATGGGACACATTTTATAAATGGCAGAATAATATGGGTATTTTTTGTATTTCAAACTAAGATGACAGGTGGGTATATGGCAACTGAGTAACTGATTGGTTGTTGGATGCATGGTAGATTTTCATTTGGCATAATTCTAAAAAAATATTGTGAGAATGAAAAAACAACATGAAATCAGATGTGAAATCAGTCCCACGGGTTTGTAGCAGGGGTCCGGAAAATTTAAAATCCCAATCGGACATTTGCATGTAGGCCACGCCCCCTTCAAATAGTGTATTTTAGTACAACTTTTCACACACATTACAAGTTTACGTATTCATAATATGATGAATTATGAATTGTTTCAATTTAAATTGTTTAATTCACTGGACAATTAATAACAAATAATATTATTTTAGATTTACATGGAAAACATACGTTTGTTTCTGTTATAATAACGATCTGTTAACGTAGTGAACGGTCTTATTAATATTCATGAGTTATATTCATGAGTCTGCTCAAGTGTACGCGTTGTAACATTTGGATCGAGAATATTATCCCATATTTGGTTATCACGTGACCTCACGGGAAAAGTGTTTTTTTTAAACAAAAGATTTTTTTAAAAAACAAGACAGATAATTTAATCAAAAATACTAAAATATCGTTGATAGCAATAGTTATTTGAATACTTTTTTCATCTGTACTTAATCATTGACCATAAAAAAATTGGATATCGATTGTCCGAGAAAGCAACATGGCGGTCAATCAAGATTCAATATACGACTAGCTACTGAAAACAATAAAATCTGCAAATCCTCATTGTATGTCAACCAAGTGAAAGTCGTTAGCCACGACTTACAAAATGATCGTCCAGACTTTGAGGGTTTGGCAGATCCGCTCGACTGATCTGCATCGGTCGACTGGCTGTCGTCGCGCTTTCGCTTCTTGTCTGAGGTTACGTATCGTAGCATTGTGAGGATAATGAGGTACATCGATGATGCAAGGTATTAATGTACAGATGTAAACACCTTTCACTCAAATTAACAAGATGTTCTCAGTAATTAATCCTCGATTAATCAGTGTCAACTCAGTTTATTGCCTATTACAGTGATTGACCGATTGGACTATCATGTAGGTACGATGTATTTACAGCAATCAAAACAAACAAAGCTTGTCAGTGTAGTTAATCTTCATTGTGTTGCAACTGCAGACAGAAACTGCTCAGTCATAACTGTTGATCATGTCCGGTCAAAATTTAAGAATGTACGGACAATACTTTTTAAAATGTCCGGTAAGCAATATTTTAAAACGGACATTTGAGATTCCCAATCGGACATGTCCGGCGCATATGACGGTTTCCGGACCCCGGGTTTGTAGGCCTGGAGAACAAGGGCGTGAAGCCACAGGGCGATAGTGTTGCGACTAACTTCTGTCTGCGACATTGGAGATATCGGTATGAAGAGGTGATGACATTTTCCACGACTATTCTTGGAGCATCGGATGAAGTATCGCAGGGCCCGTACCAGACATAGTCGTGGCGATGAAGTCCCCAGTTTAGCCCAAAATGAACAACTCCATGCACTCTGCGCTCAAATCTGACATGGGTGATGCCTTAGGTGTGTAGTTCACCTACTTATGCCGCTGTTGCCAGAGCCAAGAGGAAAATGGTCTTTTTGGTGAGGTTGTTATATGACGCTGAGTGGAGTGGTTCAAAGGGCACACCTCTCAGCAGAGTCAGGACCACGTTCAGATCCCAGGTTTGGGGGCAAACAGGTCTATGTTAGTATGTTAGGATCTCCAAGGTGTGAACAGATAACACCGAAGGTGTCAGGATGGAGTTTCCATTCTGTGGCGGCTACCCTGTCCAGTCTGGAGAGGGCGTCCACAAGGATGTTATGTCAACCTGGGATGTGTTGAATCTAAAACTGGAGGTCCAGTTGAATGATCAAATGGAAGAGCCTGAAAGTCTGCCGTAACATGGGAGGAGTGATTCACGTCCTGGTTCTTGAGGCACCATACCATGGTGATGTTGTCTGTGGATATGGTGATCCAAGCATGTTGAAGCGTCTGCTTCCAGTGAGATAGAGCCAGGATGAGCGCCTCCAGTTCTAGGTTGTTGATGTGCCCCTGTTGTTGAGCGGCGGACCACAGCCCTGAGGCGACTTGACCCTCTAGATGTGCTCCCCAGACTTGGAGTGAGGTGTCTACAACCAGGTCAAGTGTGCTTGTGATCTCTGTCATGGAGACATTCGACTCCATCGTCCACCACTGGACATGTGGCTTGAGGTGGTCCAGGAGGACGATGGCGTGGACATGGCACCTGATGTAGGGAGCAAGGAACATTTGGATAGGGCATAGATGAAGCCTTCCTCTGGATGTCAGGTCCTGTGCTGACATGAGAAGACCCAGGAGCGCCTGCCATTGGCGGAGAGTGCGGGGTTGTTGTAGAGCAACAAAGTGGTGTTGGATTAGGCGCCACCTGTCCCTGGGTACAGAGAGGAGGTCTGGGCCGGTCTGAAAGCAGCCTCCAATGTATTCAAGATCGTACCAGGGCAGTCACTCTGACTTCTGGACATTGATGATCCAGTCCAACTGATGGAGAAGACGCTGAGTGAAGTTTCTGTGGCGGATCAGTGTGGCCGTGTCCTGGTGGTTCAGGAGGGAGGCGTCGATGTACGCCTTGAACTGGACACTCCTCAGATGCAGGTAGGCGGTTCATGATGCGCGTGATACACTACCTGTAACTGCGTGTGTGTCAATACTGGAGGACTCCATACTGCCTGCATCTGAGTGTGTCAGTACTGGAGGACTTCACACTACCTGTATCTGTGTGTGTCAATACTGGAGGACTTCACACTACCTGTATCTGTGTGTATATACTGGAGGACTTCACACTACCTGTATCTGTGTGTCAATACTGGAGGACTTCACACTACCTTATCTGTGTGTGTCAATACTGGAGGACTTCACACTGCCTGGATCTGTGTGTATATACTGGAGGACTTCACACTGCCTGTATCTGTGTGTCAATACTGGAGGACTTCACACTACCTGTATCTGTGTGTCAATACTGGAGGACTTCACACTACCTGTATCTGTGTGTATATACTGGAGGACTCCATACTGCCTGTATCTGAGTGTGTCAGTACTGGAGGACTTCACACTACCTGTATCTGTGTGTGTCAGTACTGGAGGACTTCACACTGCCTGGATCTGTGTGTGTCAGTACTGGAGGACTTCACACTACATGAACCTGTGTGTGTCAATACTGGAGGACTCCACACTGCCTGTATCTGCGTGCGTGTCAATACTGGAGGACTCCATACTGCCTGTATCTGAGTGTGTCAGTACTGGAGGACTTCACACTACCTGTATCTGTGTGTGTCAATACTGGAGGACTTCACACTACCTGTATCTGTGTGTATATACTGGAGGACTTCACACTACCTGTATCTGTGTGTATATACTGGAGGACTTCACACTGCCTGTATCTGTGTGTGTCAATACTGGAGGACTTCACACTGCCTGTATCTGTGTGTGTCAACACTAGAGGACTAAACACTACCTGTATCTGTGTGTGTCAATACTGGAGGACTTCACACTACCTGTATCTGTGTGTGTCAATACTGGAGGACTTCACACTGCCTGTATCTGTGTGTGTCAACACTAGAGGACTAAACACTACCTGTATCTGTGTGTGTCAATACTGGAGGACTTCACACTACCTGTATCTGTGTGTGTCAATACTGGAGGACTTCACACTACCTGTATCTGTGTGTATATACTGGAGGACTTCACACTACCTGTATCTGTGTGTGTCAATACTGGAGGACTTCACACTACCTGTATCTGTGTGTATATACTGGAGGACTTCACACTGCCTGTATCTGTGTGTGTCAATACTGGAGGACTTCACACTACCTGTATCTGTGTGTATATACTGGAGGACTTCACACTACCTGTATCTGTGTGTATATACTGGAGGACTTCACACTACCTGTATCTGTGTGTGTCAATACTGGAGAACTTCACACTACCTGTATCTGTGTGTATATACTGGAGGACTTCACACTACCTGTATCTGTGTGTGTCAATACTGGAGGACTTCACACTACCTGTATCTGTGTGTATATACTGGAGGACTTCACACTACCTGTATCTGTGTGTATATACTGGAGGACTTCACACTACCTGGATCTGTGTGTATATACTGGAGGACTTCACACTACCTGTATCTGTGTGTGTCAGTACTGGAGGACTTCACACTACCTGGATCTGTGTGTATATACTGGAGGACTTCACACTGCCTGGATCTGTGTGTGTCAATACTGGAGGACTTCACACTACCTGGATCTGTGTGTATATACTGGAGGACTTCACACTGCCTGGATCTGTGTGTGTCAGTACTGGAGGACTTCACACTACCTGGATCTGTGTGTATATACTGGAGGACTTCACACTACCTGTATCTGTGTGTATATACTGGAGGACTTCACACTACCTGTATCTGTGTGTATATACTGGAGGACTTCACACTACCTGTATCTGTGTGTGTCAGTACTGGAGGACTTCACACTACCTGGATCTGTGTGTATATACTGGAGGACTTCACACTGCCTGTATCTGTGTGTATATACTGGAGGACTTCACACTACCTGTATCTGTGTGTGTCAATACTGGAGGACTTCACACTACCTGTATCTGTGTGTATATACTGGAGGACTTCACACTACCTGTATCTGTGTGTCAATACTGGAGGACTTCACACTGCCTGTATCTGTGTGTGTCAATACTGGAGGACTTCACACTGCCTGTATCTGTGTGTATATACTGGAGGACTTCACACTACCTGTATCTGTGTGTATATACTGGAGGACTTCACACTGCCTGTATCTGTGTGTATATACTGGAGGACTTCACACTACCTGTATCTGTGTGTATATACTGGAGGACTTCACACTGCCTGGATCTGTGTGTGTCAGTACTGGAGGACTTCACACTACCTGTATCTGTGTGTATATACTGGAGGACTTCACACTACCTGTATCTGTGTGTATATACTGGAGGACTTCACACTACCTGTATCTGTGTGTATATACTGGAGGACTTCACACTACCTGTATCTGTGTGTGTCAGTACTGGAGGACTTCACACTACCTGGATCTGTGTGTATATACTGGAGGACTTCACACTGCCTGGATCTCTGTGTGTCAATACTGGAGGACTTCACACTACCTGGATCTGTGTGTATATACTGGAGGACTTCAGACTGCCTGGATCTGTGTGTGTCAGTACTGGAGGACTTCACACTACCTGGATCTGTGTGTATATACTGGAGGACTTCACACTACCTGTATCTGTGTGTATATACTGGAGGACTTCACACTACCTGTATCTGTGTGTATATACTGGAGGACTTCACACTACCTGTATCTGTGTGTGTCAGTACTGGAGGACTTCACACTACCTGGATCTGTGTGTATATACTGGAGGACTTCACACTACCTGTATCTGTGTGTATATACTGGAGGACTTCACACTACCTGTATCTGTGTGTGTCAATACTGGAGGACTTCACACTACCTGTATCTGTGTGTATATACTGGAGGACTTCACACTACCTGTATCTGTGTGTCAATACTGGAGGACTTCACACTGCCTGTATCTGTGTGTGTCAATACTGGAGGACTTCACACTGCCTGTATCTGTGTGTATATACTGGAGGACTTCACACTACCTGTATCTGTGTGTATATACTGGAGGACTTCACACTGCCTGTATCTGTGTGTATATACTGGAGGACTTCACACTACCTGTATCTGTGTGTATATACTGGAGGACTTCACACTGCCTGGATCTGTGTGTGTCAGTACTGGAGGACTTCACACTACCTGTATCTGTGTGTATATACTGGAGGACTTCACACTACCTGGATCTGTGTGTATATACTGGAGGACTTCACACTACCTGTATCTGTGTGTGTCAGTACTGGAGGACTTCACACTACCTGGATCTGTGTGTATATACTGGAGGACTTCACACTACCTGTATCTGTGTGTGTATATACTGGAGGACTTCACACTACCTGTATCTGTGTGTGTATATACTGGAGGACAGACAATACTACAAGTATTACATGAACCTTAATCTGACCTTGACCTTTCTAAACCAGGTCCATATCCAAATGCTGGTACATTCTAAGTTTAATGATATATGTATAAATACTTTTGAAGAAAGTGTACCCATAATCAGTTTGTATTAACTTGAGACCTTAACAGATGATTTTTTCGAGCACTACTGCTTTATAAAATGTGATTTTCCGCGTTTCTGCGGAGATTTCACATCCCTGTTAACTTGGCCATTTGGAAGAAGTCAATGTAAGAATAATCTCTAGTGTCCATAATTTTTGTGTAGTAGTCATTAGAGTGAGTGAGTGAGTATCATTTTACGCTGCTTTTAGCAATGTTCCAGCAATATCACGGCGGGGGACACCAGAAAGGTACAAGGGAGACTGTCAATCTACACACAAGAAATACACAAGACACGACCGACAGAAAGCAAGGAGCTTTTGACACATCACATGACTACTGGCAGGTGAGACAAAGCATCAGAAGTGGGAGAGAGATTCTGTTGCTTTGACCCATCAAAATGAACTGATCAAATTTTAAGGTCAGTTGTACCATTTGCAAAGCATGTGAATAATAATTTAGTTGCATAGTGCTTATGACGTTGGTTTGGTTGGTGGGCCAGCACTGGACTTAGTAGCCAGTAAAGGACTCAAGTGAAATTCATCTCCCCTTATTTTCTATTGGAAGTTTAACTTGACAAATATTTGCGTTCCCTGCATATTTACCTTCTTAGCTGAATCTTTATTTTTTCCTTTGGTTGTGGACTCAGCCGGCTGCAAAAGGAAATCCATAGATTTAAACACAAGGAATGCATGTCAATAACCGAGGCTGTGAACCCATCTTCCTGAGTACAGGATCCACCACAGTTGTCATGGCTACAGCAGGATGCCACCACAGCTTCAGTGGCTGAGAGAGGAAGCAGCTTGGTAATCTTAACCATTACACAAAGGGTGACAAAGTGTTTGCAATGAACGGCACGACACTGCCTTATGGCATATATAATGGAATGTGGCACGACACTGCCTTATGCCATACCTAGTAAAATCTAAATATTTTTTACATTTGTATACTTATCCTGCATTACTCCTTAATGCATTCACTGCTTACTTACGACAACTAGAAGGACAGCGCTGAAAAGGTCCAGGGTGAAGAAATAAAGTTGTTGTTCTCAAGTCCCAATCAGTGACCTTCCGTCGCTGTCCTGTGACCTTGATGACACCTAAGGTCATCTTCACATCACTGCCTGTCGCCCAAGCTCTTAGAAAAACATACTTTTGAGGTTTCTGAAGCCAAAGTGGGGAGGCAAGTCTTACGACGGGTGGGCCTTTAACGTAGTAATGCAGGATAAGTATACAAATGTAAAAAATATTTAGATTTTACTAAATTTTTTACTTATCCTGCATTACTCCTTAATGCATCTGTATCGGACGGTTTGGAGGTGGGTAAACTTCAGAATACAGAAACCTCAATAATTCACACCCTGCAATACGACACCAGTTGGTCGATAAACCGTGAAGCGGAAAAGTTCAGAAAAAAAAGCCATTACGGTAGGGTTGTTCAAAAATCAAAAAGATTGAACATAGGCATTAAAGAGAAATTCCCTATACACGCTTAGTAATAAAGAAAATAATAACTTTTCAGCTAATTCTTTACTAACTACGTCATAGAGCCGTCGCTGACAAACAAGATTGTCTAATATTCTTCCACTGGTGGCGACTGAGTGACTGCACATGGAAGTTGACTGGCTCTGTATAGGGCGAGTTCATTATTTGCGTCAGGGGTTGGCAACCTGCAGGATAACAACCAGAGGGCCAAACTTCGAACGTCTCATCCTCGAGAGCCCCAATGCGAAGGTTATGACTAACGAAAATATGTGTCGAATCTCCAGAAATATCCTTCCGTGATTGTTCCAAAACCACAATTGCCGTGTTGAGCCCTGGTAAGGCTGACACCTTGAGATCTTGAGGGTAATTCGCTCTCGGCGAGTTCCGTTTGGCGATCTCGTAGGCCTGAAGGATTACTGCGCGTAACCATAGAGATATGGTGTTTGCGATTATGCGACTAACTTTGGTCGTGGACGAAGTAAATAGGGGTATCAATGACCGCTTCCTCGAACCATGCATAGTCTTGGAGCGTCGAATGAAAACTCGAACTGCTCGCACTGAGCCCAGGAGAACTTCATCATGTACGATTCCCACATTAGTCGATATCGGTGGGATGGTGAAGGAACGGTCGGGTTGGCCTGGTAGTAGATTTTAGCAATAAAATCCCAGCATAACCCCAGATGTCCCGTTCCGTGCGTCCCATGCTCAAAACGGATCCGGGTTGAGTCGATCACATGTAGTTCCCTCACCCGTACCGCCATTGCTAATGCCAAGAGAAACCATTGTTCCTTTGGTGAGAGTCATGAAATGAGGCAAGCTCCTCACAGCGATAGCCTGTTCGCAGAGCTCTCTATACTATACCGAGAGTGTAACGAAGGTGTCACTCGCTGGGAAGGAGCTTGAAAATGAGGATGCAATGAGGGGCTCGAAGGGGGCCCTCGCAAACCTCGAAGTACCACGTTCAAGTCCCAATCAGGGCGGAACTTGGCCTTCTGATCCTCAAGCCTGAATGGGCATAATATGGCCTGTAGTTCCGTGACCTTAATCACATTGTGATTTTCCGGAAACGGCCAACACTAAGATAATTGCAGCCAATTACGTAGCAATGGTGCTACCTTCCAAGTGTTTTGGGGTACGCAAAGTAGGAGGTATTCCTCTAGGAATTGTGACGCAATCGTAGGGTCTTGATTCTTTTCTTCCCTGTAAAAAGTCTCAAGTGATCCCCACTTGTCATCGTATAGTCTCTGGGAGAGTAACAATGAACTAAAGCTATAGCTTTGCTGCCCGTGTCGAAATAACCCTTCGCACTTAAACGCCTTTTAAAGACGAACCATGCGTGCAGACGTTAGGTGAGGCAATTTTCTGTTGAGGGTGGATGAGTAGGTTGGACGACTGTGAGAGGGGTAGTAAATCATTTTCGGCTAGATTTTTCCAAGCTTGACGAACTACCCTCTCGCCGGTTACCAGGGTGCGACCAAAGGAGAGATCGAGATACCTTGTCTCCTTGATCCCCTGTATCACCTTGGGAAGTAAAAGTGGTGGCAGAAAAGTGTAAGTTTTTTGCCCTTCCCAAGTGATACTGAACTCGTCCACCGCCCAAGTCTGCGGATCCGGCAACGGGGAGATATACGTCATGAGTTGGTGGCCTAGGCAAGTAATAAACAAGTCAATATTTGGTTGCCTGAATTCCTGAAGCAGTAACTGGAATGCTTCTGTGAGAAATTTCCACTCGGTGGGAGCCACCCTGTCTGGACGTGATAAAGTATCGGCCAGTATGTTTCTACATCCGGGGATGTGCTGAAATATTAACTTTAGTCACAGCCGATCCACTACATGGAACAAATCTGAATGTCCTTAGAAGTAGAGAGTGGGAGTGTGTTGTTCCCCGATTGCACAGGCACCACACCGCAGTGCTGTTGTCTGTTGATATTGCGAGTCGGTTACTGTAGTTGATTCTGCCAATGTGATATAGCCAGAATTAAAGCTTCCAACTCCACTTCCATTGAGCGCCAGGCCATAGCCCTGAGCTTATCTGGTCTTGTAAGTGAAGACACCACCCCTGAAGGGGGACGTCCACAAACAGGTGTGTATTCGGGGAAAACCCGAATAAAGAGACTCCGCAGACATTCAACGCCACAAATTGAGGCAAGGCTCTAGCTTAGTCGGTAGAGTGATGGCCTTGAGTGGATCCTGACTCCTGATGTAAGGGTTCAGGAAAAAATTGAATTGGTCGCATTTGTTAGCGGCCCATGCTAGTTAACTCCTGTGCCGAGGTGATTAACCCTAGCAACACTTGCCACTGGCAAAGTGTGTGTGGTTGGTGTAGAGTAGATGACAACAGAAGTAGAAACTTGTGCCATCTGTCCCTCGGTACAGATAAGATATCCTGGTCTGTCTAGAACAGGTCTCCTATGAACTGAAGTCAATAGGAAGGAGAATACTCCCGACTTCGCCTCGTTGATTGTCTATCCCAGTTATTGACATGTGTTGATGATACAGTAGACCGCCCTCCATCTACGACTCGAACCAAGTGTTCATCAAGTGTAGATAGTTATTGGCTTCATTACTCCTGTAAATAGCCATAAGTGTCACTGACATGTCAAATGGGAAATACTACCATTGGTAGTGAACCCCAATGAACTGGACCTGAAAAGTCTATGGATGGGATGGATAGTCGAGACTGATCAAGACTCAAACGTTCGTTGAACACAGAGAGATTGTGGATCATTCTCATCTTGTCTGGGTCCTTCATGAGTACCAGGTAGGTGTGAGGATAAAACCCTGGTGTAAAGACTGGGTTGTGAACCCACTCTACAGCTCTTCTTACTAACAGTATGTCTATGTTGGATTTTCCCAATCAAACTGTGGTCAACGGTGGGGTTATCTCTACCCTTATACGGACACCATGATATAGTGCGATAAGTACGAAATGGTCCTTGAGACTTGTCTCTGCCACTCCCTTTCCCAGTAAGGGAATGCTGGTCTTCCCTGAGAAACGCGCGTCTAGGCTTATAATTTCCTGACTTGCCAGCCCGCTTAGACTTTCCAAGCTTTTTGGGAACTTTGACGTGCGTGTCTGCGATCTGTTCATTGAACAGGGCAGTAGATGACCAAGGTTGACGTAATAGACTGCCCTTGAAACCAGAATCTCAGTTGGAAACACTATAAAGTCTTGGGTGTAACGGTAATCTCCGTCAGAACGGTCTCAAGATGAATTTTCCTGTGGTCAAACTGACGCTGTAGGAAAAACACCATAGTTTGGAAGATAGGGTTATCCTCTAATAGATTCTGATCCACTGCAAACATTGACAATATTGGTCGCTTAAATGACGGAGCAAATGTGAGTTTTGGAGAAGTCTTCCTCCAATGACCTCGTGGTGTCCCTCTTATTTACCCCGTTATCAGGGGAGGGCATTACTGAGATGGTCTGCTACCCAATCGGGTACATGTGCTAAGCTGATCATGTGCCGGTTACATAACTGAGTACACTGTAAGCCTTTGGGCTAACGTCATTGTAGGGACCTTGATTGGTACGCAGACGCTGCGTTCAGCGCAGGTCTGGATATATTGGAACAGCGCTAAGCTGATTGTGCGTTGCTTGCGTAATAGGAGTGCTTGGGTTGTAGTCAAGTGCTGCGCTCGGCGCAGATAAATGAGACACAAAGCTCAAAGGTATTGACTGGATCAAGGCTTGCGTCTAATCTACCCCAATCATAGCATCTTGATACGCTGGTGCTGTCGCCGACGTCGCAGATTAACATACATGTATCTGGAAGTGTCCGGCGGCTGAAAAAATAGGAGCAGTTATGATACTCACAAAATCCTCCGGTATTGTTGATTTCTGTAGATCGTGTACTTCTGCAGTCACAGGCGTCATAACTGCCGATAATAACGGTTGGGTGGTAATGACCGAACCATGTCTTTCGCTATTCTGCGATAGTGACATTCCTCTCGTCTCACGACGGAATAACTGCAAAATATGATTGTGAGTAACCTGCTTTCATATAGTAAACTCGTTGGATTAGAGATTTACACAAAAATTACATTTTGAATTTTGGCGAGCACATCTACGTGCATGCCTAGGACCGTGGATAAAGATCTTTGGGCGATTATTCCACGACAATATGTACACCACGCAAACATAAGTTACGCAATTAAACCATTGAAGA